ATATTTCAATCATGTCGACAAGTTATTATAAATAAACGTGAAGAATGGAAAAAATTAGGTTTAACAAATCATTTAAAACAATCATCATTAAATTTATTAAATACAAAACATTTAACTATATTTGATCGAACAAAACCTGATGGTTTATTACTTGAAATATATGTTCATATAACAAAATTATGTCAAATATCAATAGGACAATTACTTTGGGGTGATATATCATTAATTGATGAACAATATCTTATTTGTCATCAACATAAAATTGAAAATCAAACAGTTAGGTAAGATGAAATCAATAAACGAAAAAAAAAACAAAAGAAATCTTTTTTTTTTTCTTTTAGACTTTATGCAACACCACATAATATTTTGACATGTCCAGTACAAGCCTATCGACTTTATGCAACACATCGACCACCACAATGCAATACACCACAATCACCATTTTTTCTTGTGCCACGTTCAACAAATATTCATCCAATTTGGTTAGAAACAAAAACAAAAAAAAGAAACTAATATCGAAAAATTATTTATTTTATTTTATTATAGGTATAAAACAACAGCAGCTGGTAAAAATCTTGAACAAATACTTCAAAAAGCTATACAACATGCTACTCTTCTTAAACAATCATCATCTCCAAATGTAAATGAATTAATATCTAATGGAAAACGAAATGAATTACAAAGTAATTCAAAACGATTACAATCATCTTTAATTCAACCACTTAATCTATCTGTTACAACAACAACAACAACAACAATAGAAGATGATAGTGGTACAGCTTTATCATCACCAACAAATTCATTATCAAATGATGTTATATCATCATCATCAACAACAATAAATGGTTTTATTAATAAATCAATAATAACACCGGTTTGGGATGAAAGTGTTACTGATATATTATTAACTATTGCTAAACAACGTGATACACGTACAGTAAAAATAAATACACTTCGAACATATTTAGAAGAAAAATTAGGTTTTGTAGAATTTTTATGTCTTTATCGTGGTTTTAAATCGGAACCAAAAATAACATTTCATGGGACACCATGGGAACATTATCAACGTTTTTTACCTGTTCTTTTTACATTGCTCACACTTGAAAATACGACTGTTTAAATCAATGTCATTTTTCTTTTTTTTTGAGTATTTTTTTTGTTTTTATAAATCAAGAATTTCAAATGATTTTCTTTTCTTTTTTTATTTTTTGTAAAGCCATTTTGAAAGAAGAATCAAACTCGTAAACTGACGGGAAAATAGCCGATATGATTAGTATCAGCGACTTGTGTACGTTCATGATTTCAAATTCAAGGAGAAGAATTACAGTAAAACAACATCTTTCGATTAGAGATATACAGTTTCAGTTTACTGATCGTCGACGATGATGTTTATTAAACTCGAATGGTAACTGTATGGAAAATTGTCAAAATTCAGGTGGTACAATTCTGATATACTCCCGATAGCTTTGATATCAGTACTTACTAAACCTATGACTACACCTACATTGATATTCAGTAGAAAATCTCCATAACCTTGACATCAGTGTTCACTGAACCACTAATACATTGATTCTAATTTCCATTGACTAAAATTTATATGAGAGTATTATGATGTCTCTCGATATGCAGGATGTTTTTATTGGATGAAGATATATTTGCTTCATAGATGATTAGACTTTTTTTGTAAAGCCAATTCTATTCAATGTTACGCTTCATTAGCGAATAATGCGGTTGTCGTCATAGAATATACGTCGTGGTTTACCTATCGTTTTCTATTCTTTGTTCTTTTACCTTTTTCTTTTACTTCTAACCATTTTCTTTAACCTTCATATAATTAATTGGACGATAGAATTATAGTGTGAGTCAGGAGGTAAGCCACACCTACTTATATATTAAGATTAGATGTAGAAACGATGTATTTCTGTGTTGTTATTCGAAATAATAGATGCATCAAATTTACGATATTTTTTCAAGAAAGGTAGATGCGCATTCATTGAGCGCAAAAGTTACGTAGGTTGACAGAGTCTATGGTTCAATGTGTTGCTGAACTTCGATGTCTAGTGCAATCAGTACCTCAGTAAAGTTTGATATAAGAATTATCGGAGTTCTTGTCAACGTCAGTATAAGTGTTTTTACTAACACAATACATTCCTACTTTCAACCGATTATTGCGATATGCGTAAGACTACCGTGGTTCATAGATTGTTGAGTACTCGAAATTTTAGTCAAAATTAAACAAGAAGAAAAGATGTGAGTGCACTTTTATTTATTTATTTTTATTATGTAAACGTTTTGTATATTATATTTTGGAATTTTCGATCATAATACAGTCATCATCAACTATCATAACCTAATAATAATAATCATAAATTCATAACATGATTTTAAAACTTGTATCCAATATCAAATTTAATATCAAAGTAAACTCAAGTTTTTATATATTATTCATTTATAAAAAATGCTATGATGATTAGAGATCGAGCAGTTCGAACTCATAAGTTCACATCTACTAACGAGGGAACCTTCCCAGATGTTATCCTCTGATTTTAATGAATTTTTGTCTATAGATACTACATAGTGCCCTAGTAAAAACTCTAAAAGGATTTGGGTTCCTAGAGCTTTCTTCAAAAGTTATAAATACTTTAATTCTACCCCTATAAGGCATAACATACAATATTTATGAGAGGATTCATCAGACCGGCTGCTGCTAAATATATTTTTTTCTATCTTTTATAGCAAATGAAAGATCGTATTGGGAAACTTATAAATCCAACATATCAAGTTATTGTGAAGTATTTATAAAAAATGTCAAGGATCACAATTATCGAATTTTTTGTGATAAGACCGTAAAAATTAAAAATATGATTTTTTAGTGTTTTGATAGGTTTTTTGAGAATTTTTCTATCTCTAATCGCCTCTTTGAGCCAGGAGAGGTTCTAAAAGATACAGAAAAGAATTTTCTACAGAATGTGATAATAAGTTTTAGTAAATGAATGAACTTCCACAGAAGAAGGGGGTCTATGTTTCATGGTTGTTCTTTTGCTTGTAATTTGTTTCGAATCTCGTCAAGTTATGCTATTGCAAAAAAAAAGAGAATTGAGTTTCTGTAAGCCCTTGAAGTTCTGCATTTTTTAAGACCTATCCTGGCTCAAAGAAGCAAAAAATTCGGTAATTGTGATCCTTTACATTTTTCATAAATACTTCACAATAACTTGATATATTGGATTTATAAGTTTCCCAATACGATCTTTCATTTGCTATAAAAGATAGAAAAAAATATATTTAGCAGCAGCTGGTCTGATGACAGACATCGGTGTGACCAAAAAGTCGTGACCAAAGAAAAAAAAAGTTTTTCGATTATAGTTTCAATAGTACAAGTGACGACCGAAGCCTATTTAACTATTCTTGTTCAGAATTTATTTCTCTTCAAAGTGGTATATAAAACTCACAGAATCCGATGATCCATAACATAGAAAATTGCATCACATTAGTCGTGACCAGAAAATGTCGTGACTGACCGTGACCAAAACTGGTCACGACTAATATGATGCAATTTTCTCTGTTATGGATCATCGAATTCTTCGAATTTTATATACCATTTTGAAGAAAAAAAAATTCTGAACAAGAATAGTTAAATAGACTTCGGTTGTCACATGTACTGTTGAAACTATAATCGAAAAACTTTTTTTTTCTTTGGTCACGCCGATGTCTACTGATGAACCCTCTCTTAAATATTGTATGTTATGCCTTATAGGGGTAGAATTAAACTATTCATAACTTTTGAAGAAAGCTCTAGGCAGAGTTGTAACCGGTAGGGTTTTTTCCTTACCGGTACCGGTACCGGTCTAACTGGTCAGACCGGACCGGACCGGCCGGTATACCGGTATAAATTATTCTTCTGTTTTCTGATCCTATAACGCTCAAATCAATACCTAGATGAGTCATATATTCCTTCTAATCACTACAGCTATGATATAAAAGTACTATTTCGCCACTGCAGTGCTTTTTACTATTTGCTTTCACATGTGTCCTGTTTCTCGATATCTGTTGGTGAGCACAAAAGTTCATACGACCATAAATTCTATATTAATTTTGCACTTTGATTAACTATTCATCAAATATGGGCTCTATTTATTGCTCGTATGCTATACTCGCTTTGTCATCTTTCGTGTCTGTCAGGACTATATGCAATAAATAATGGGAAATACAAATAAATCCATGATAAACTACGATGCTAAACAATTAATCATTTAATTTTATTTGAACAACACCGATGTGGTTCAGGAAACGACACTTTGTCGGTTAAAATAGTTTTTATTGACCAAAATTATCGTTTATCATACCTAAACGTCGTTTCAAAACAGAAAATAGCTGGAAATTGACCTTCGTAAACGCTGCGGAAACGTTTCTGTATGCATTTGAGCTTATATACACATAATAACATTTCTGTGCTGTTTACGAAGGTCAATATCCAGCTATTTTATTTTCTGAAACACCGTTTAGGTATGATAAACGATAGTTTTGGCCAATAAAAACTGTTTTAAATGATAAAATGTCGTTCCTTGAACTATACGGGCAGAACGTCGTACCCACATGGATTGGATAAATATAAAAACATCCATGACAAATTTTGACTCAATAGGATAGTTTGATACAATTTTTTTTACCAAAATAGTCTTCGACATTAGTAAAAAGTTTTTGATTTTCGAAAAAAACCACCTTTCTGATCATTTTTTCGGAAAAAAATAGGGAAAAATTCAAAAAAAATTCAGACCGGGCCGGTAAAGAAAAAGTTGGTTCTACCGGCCGGTATACCGGCCGGTAAGAAATCTTCTACCGGACCGGACCGGACCGGACCGGAACGGAACGGACCGGCCGGTCTGCCGGTCCGGTTACAACTCTGGCTCTAGGATCCCAAATCCTTTTAGAGTTTTTACTAGGGCACTATGTAGTATCTATAGACAAAAATTCATTAAAATCGGAGGGTAACATCTGTCAAGGCTTCCTCGTAAGTTGATAAATTGTTGAAACAGATCGGTTTCTGAAGCTGAACTGCCCAAAAAATGTTGATCTACTTTGAGAATACCATTACTGGTTACAGAATAAAAAGTTTTTGAACAACTCACTTCAAATCAGAGAACATTCTCAACAATACTTCAGATAGAAACAAGGAGGAAGGAGGAATAAACTAATTTCTATACTATAAATCATTATAACACGGTAAGAATACGAATAATGACTGAATAGGTTAAAAGTTATCGAAAACCGTCAGAAACCATTAGAAATCAATTAAAATCATTCTAAATCATAGAAAAAGATAGAAACTAGTTTTCAGTGATGGAAATCAGTTTGTTCTTCCTTGGATCAGAACTAAAAGTGAACTTGTCCACATTTGATTATGATCCTTAACAATGACTGTATAATACTTGAAGATTTCGAAACATAATATAACAAATATTTTCATTAAAAAAAAACAATATTTTCGTTTGCTTTTGTTTTCATCATAGTTTTTGTATACATTTTTCTTAATAGTTTCGCACTTGTTTCGTATTCTTTTTCTATGATAAACTTTATAACGTCTTTCTAAAGTATCTGATAAACATCGCCACTCCTATTATTATTATTTTGTTTTTGTGAATGATTCATTTCTTTAACGCTTTATCTTCTTAAAAAGATAAAGTGAAAAACTGCGAAATTATTTATTAGCTTTCATTCACACCATTCAATCTTTAATCTTACCAATTTTATAGCTAAATTTTAATTCTTTATATCCATAGAGGCGACATGTTGAAAAAAAAAATAAGAAAAGAAATAATACGTATATAAAATACTTGCGAATTTTTAATATATTTGTTCGATTGTTATTATTATTTTTTTTTTTTTTTTTTGAAAAAAATCAAGCTGAATTAAGCCACAAGAGTTTATATCCCTTGCTGCATATAATTCCACTGAGTACAATTCAACAAAAAAAAAACCGCCATTTTCATCACGCCAATTTTTACATACAATTTTTAATAAAATAAACTAATCACATTTAATCAAAGAAAAAAATGCAAACGTGGATCAATGTTCAAACAATCAATAATCATTGAACAAGTGGTTTTGTTATTGTCACCGGATGACCAACATTAGCTCGAATAGGTGTATTACGTACAGATTCTGACCTACAATAAACAATATAAATTATTAGAATAACTAAATAGATTTTGTTTCTAAAATGATCAAGAAATATCTTTGTTAATAGAAATAAATGTGGAAACCTCGGATTTAAATCCGAGAGTTATGTGTACTTCAAAAAGTGAATGAGGCAGATGAGTCATCCTAGAATGTGGAGACATAAAAATTATCCTGGCAAACTTTTTCTATAAACACTTGATTTCTATTGGCTACTGCTCAACCAATAGGATTTGGGGTAAATACAGCTCAGATTTGAACTCTTCGTCTTGATTTACCCTAAGAAAGTCTTTTTTCCTATAACTTGATTGCTATTGGTTACTGCTCAACCAATGGAATTTCGAGGCGAATGGAGCACATATTCGAGTTCTCCACCCCAGAAAACCTCGAACTATCATCTGTATGATCGGAAGATAGAGCTCTAATTGTAGATCAATTAGAGCGTGGACAAGAACAAAACCAAATTCCGTTTAATTATCTTTGCAATAGGTGAGTTAGCTTTCTTGTTTCTTTATGTTTTATATACCATTTTGTAGCTCGTGAAATTCTCTATCGAATGGTATATAATAGTTGGGGTTTTATTTAACTATGATAGGAAAAGTTGTTTACGAAAGCTGGGATCGGTCGATTTTCGCATAGGAAGCCATAGGGAAAAATGACTATTTTTGCAATAACTCACGAATGGCTCGGTCGATCATGCTCATCTTCGAACTCGACCGAGATATTGTTAAGACTAAACTGTGTAGAAAATTTCATCGTGATCGGACTCTCCTTTCAAAAGTTATCGTGTTAACGGCCGGACGGCCGGCCGGACGGCCGGACACACTGACCGATTCTAGAGTGTACTCACTTTTTGAGTACACAACAAAAATCAAGATTATGTCTTTTTTTTTTTGTTGTTTATTTTACCTTGTACAATCAGCACTGGTTAATGAATTAGTTGATACATTAGTTTGTTTATTTTTTTCTGATTTAAATCGACGAAATAATGATTTTTTTTTTGGTTTTGGTGTTAATGTCATCACTGATTCAGGATGTTCCAAAATAGTACTACTTGTATCTATTTAAAATAAAAATAATTAAATTAAAATTTCAAAAGAAATCCATAATTACCAAATGATTTTTTATTTGATTTTGATCGAAATATATTTCTAAATGATCGATATATTGAAGAATGTCGCTGTGATTTTGGTGTATCTGTTGAACTTATAGATAAACATGGTTCTAGAAATTTTATTTTAGATATTGAAATAAAATAGTACAAAACAAATATATTAATTCTACCTGCTGATATACTATGTGGAATACCACTACTTTCTCTTGTAGTATTCAATGTTGAACTTTCAGTATTTTCATTTTGTTGATTTTTTTTATTTTTTTTTCGTCGATGTAATATTGAACGTCGAAATGAACCCATAAGTGATCGTGATTTTCGAGATTTATCATGTTGATTATCATCAATATGTGATGATAATGGTGTTAATGTTGAACATGAATCAATTGTTGAATTAGATATTGTTTGTGGAGACAAATTTGATGCAACATTAAGACTCTAGATTTATAAAATTAGAAACATTAAAACAAATCATATAAAAAATAAGGTCATTAAATTCAATGATTACTTAAGAAATTTGTCAATATTAAGTCAATCATAATATTAGTATTCCCTTTTCTTTTGATACGATTGAATTTGAGAGGATTCCTCCACCTATTTCTGGGATTTCAAGAGAACAGGTCATCAGAAAGGAAACTGACATTTTTCTTAGTGAAAATGTTTTTGACCTTTTACTAGGTCATTAAAGCATTCTCTGTTGCTCTTATATGATTAGTATCATGATGCGATATTATTACGCATGTATATCAATGAGAAATAAGAAAATTTTAGATCCGGACAATATTCGAGAATATATAGAATCTTTACATTCCAAGTCTTTTAGAACAACATGTAAAATCATCTCCGAGCCATTATTGTTCAATGGTGCTGTAACTTTTACTAACGTTTTAATGTTATAGATCACCGGGATGTTACATTTTATGAAATCTATATTGTGAAATTCTTCATGGAATCAACTTTAGGATTCAGTACTATTCTCCTTGATTGTACAATTAAAGAATCTTATAGAGTTTGGTGATTCTCCACGAAATACACTGTTTTTCATGACATATACGCTCCATTTCAGGGTTTTCTTTTTGCGAAAAAAAAAAAATTTGCGTCGCTGAAACATTAAAAATCCCATATGATTGTTTACAATTTGTTAAGTACCCAATTTCAAGAGGAAAAAAAACAAGTTTTTTTCGTCGTTCATCATCGTTTCGTATTTTATTTTACATAATGAATCTCGAAAAATATTATGAATGTTTTTTTTTTTTTTAAATTACGCTTATGTTTCACTTACATTATTCGTATAACTATTATCTTTATATTGTAATGCTATGATTTCATCAGATGGTGATCGTTGATAATTATGTTGAATATTATTTGGTTCTATTTAAATAAATAAAAAAAAATTAATTTATCTTATAATCAAAATTTTAATGAGGAAAAATATCATTACAAAAGCAAAAACAAGATATACCTCGTCTAATATTCGACGAATTTAGACTATCATCAATACTTTCAATATCATATCCATTGTTAACTAATTAGATTATATTGTAAGAGAAAAAAAAAACATACATCATGCGAAATAGTTAAATAATAAAAGCATGATAGAAAAGCAGAATAATACTTTTATTAACTTACCAGCTGACGTTTCCTCTTCAGATAAAGTTGAAACCTAAGATATAGAAACGAATAAATCAATTGTCATATATAACTATAAAAGTGCAACTGTTTTTCAAAATCATATTTGTAAAAATAAAACACACGTAATTACAAAAAGAAAAAAAATATATATATATAATGTAAAAAAAAAACTGCGTTAAGAGAGAAAAAAATTGCGTAAATGTTTTCTTGATCTAAGACGATTTTGTAAACGATTTAGAAAATCTTGATGTTTTCGATCATGTGATTCAATTGATGAATTTGATGGTAATGATGAAATTTTTGTTTTAACTTCTTTAGAAATTTCTCTATGTAACGAAGGTTTTTTCAAATGACTTATTGATAATGTTTCAAATAATGCTAATGAATGATGATTTGAACATGGAGTTGTTTGTACAGCAAAACCTGTTGATTCCATAGGTACTAATGATGTAGTTGTTAATCGTGAAGATTCAATCGATTGATTTTCTAAATGGGATGTTGCTTGAACAGTTGTTAGATTTAATGTATCTGCTTGTTCCCTTTCGTTATTCTCAATTGATGATGATGCAATTAAATTAGAAGACAATTCATTTATATTTGTACATGAATTTGATTTAATTGGTTTTAAACTTGGTAAAGGTCGATTAGATTGTTGTTGAATATTACGTTGATGACCAAATTTACTACGTACATCAGGACTTGTACATAAATCGATAAATATTCGATTTAAATTTGTTTCACTTCGACTACGCACCATTTCGAACTATGATATGTCTTTCTCTATTCACTTATATTCTCAAATAAATAATAAATCATCGAATACATCACTTCTCTTAGTCAAAAAAAAAAATACCAAGTACGAAGACGAGAAAAACAACAGAATTGCATAAAAAGTCGTAGGTGTCAAAAAAGTAATGACGAAGAAAAAAAAAAAGTCTAATGTCTTGTATATACAGAAGACAAAAAAAAACTCAGGTAAAAATAAATAGGAAGCCTAATGATATCGTCGACAGTGTTGGTTACATGAAAATAGGTAGAAAAGAATATATATAAAATTTTTACCTCGATCCGAACAATTGAATCAGGATGTTGAGGTGTTATTCGTACATCTTGTTTATAAATTGTACTTGTTATATAAGAAAATGGAATAGTCACATCAGCGTAAATTTTATCAACTAGCCAAGAATGAAAAGAAAAATAAAAACATTTTAAATAAAGAAAAAAAAATACATGAACAAACCGATTTGATTATTATGTCTTTTATTTGGTTTTTTACGATCGATAATTTTTAAATGTATTTGATTACTTTTATCATTAATTTCAAATGCAAAAGATTCATCCCAAAAACTTAAAGAAATAATAATAAATTAATTTAATTAATTCTATAGAATGACAAAACATACGGATTAACACTATTTTTTGCAATACTTGTTTGATGAGTTTGTCGAGGTTGATTTAATTCAATAATACAAAATGGTTGTTCAATATCTAAATTTTTTATTTTTTATTTTTTTTGTTTTTCAAATTAGATATATTTCATTAAGATTTTACCGTGTAATTTAACAGCTTTAACAATACGAACAAGTAATTTTTTTGCTTGTTTTTCAGGTAATACTTGTGGATTGTTTTCACTAATTGATGATGAAAGAGAAGTTTCATATGACTGATAAACATTAGAAGGTTCAGGTGTAATTGGTTTAAATGATGATTCCTACAATGACGTACATTTTTTTTTGTCGAGTCAATAAAAAATAAAAACAACCAATTTGATTTTTATGTTTATGTCAAAAAAAAACAAAAAAAAAGATCGATTTCTCTTATTTGTTACTGTCAGTTAAATGCATAAATTGATGACAAAGATTTGTTTTATTTTTTCATCAGAATTCTTCAATCGAATCAAATACGAAACGAGGAAATAATTTGAACTCATATCCGTCATTTGATCTCATAATGAGAATGCCTCAGGATATCTTAATGAGATCGGCAAACGCCTACACAAGTTCGTTCTATTCATTTTTACAATCGAGTTACGATCATTTTTTGTAGTTTTTGGTACATACTGCAAAAAATTTCGATATAAAATTTTACACACATATATATATAAGTCTAATAATTTATAGAATATTCTAAATATTTCAATCGAAAATAATGTTTATTTGTTGAGATATTAAATTTCCAAAGTAAACTCGGTTTTTTATAACATGTTTATGTCTAGCAATTATTCATAGGAAACTCAATATCTCAATAAAAGAAAACTTTTTTTTTTGTAGTTGAAACTTATAGAATATTTTACAGATCATTCGGTGCATCGATGAGGAAGATTTTGTTGTTGTTTTTTTTTTTGATTTTTCAATAATATTTTCTTGTATACTTAAATGATGATTATCAGTTCGAATGATTCTCTCGTGAATATATTTCTAGTCTTTTATTTTATAGAACAGTCATCGTTTGTCATTTCACACAAATAAAAGTAAGGTGATACATATATCAATAGAAATAATCATCATGTAGAAAATAAATTCCTAAGATAAACTTTGATGATGATATTTTTTCAAGCATGAATAATCTTGTAAAAATAAATCCATACTCATAAAACTAAATATTTTTTGTTTTCTCAATGATGTCAAGTGGCTCTTTTATTCTCTTTTCGATTTAACATGAAAAAAAAAATTGCCATTAAATAATAGTATAATATTTATTGTTAAACTTACAATCTTCGATTCATTAATAATATTTGTTTGTTTGTTATCATCTGATGATAGATGACAACAACATTGAACAACAGTTTGTTGAATTGTTTCTTTAAATAATTTAATAATTGACTCTTTTTCATCAGATGATAAGTTCTGGAAAAAAAAATGATTTAAAAAAAAAAACAAAAATATTTTCTAAATTTTTACATTTTTAGGATCAATAATTTCAGCATGATCAATTTGAATTTGTTTAAATTTTACTTCAATTGAATATTTATTAATATAATTAGTTAAAAATATTTGAAGTTCACCAGTTAATTTTGGTATTTCAATCGAATAATGTTGACCTTTTGTTGTATTAACAATATTAAAAATTAAATGAACAATGTCAAGTTCTGCATTGATGACCTTTTTTTTTAGAAAAAGAATTTATATAGAAAAATAAAAATAAAAATAAATATTTACAATCGTTTCAACTGATGCTTGAGAAACATCATGAATGTTTGCATTAGCAAATTGTAATGTTTCTATGTTCAATTGTTCCTTGAAAAAAAAAAAAAGCAATATATATGTATATATATATACGCAAAACAATAACAAAGATTATATTCGATAATAGAATAGAAATATTCTAATACCTTTTTATAAATAAATATTCGATTTAATGAATATAGAAACTCAGTAAAAAAACAATTTTGAATATGATTAGGAGAATTTAATAACCAATTTAAAATAGATACTGATGATTTTGATTGAAAAAATTTATTTTGTATTTTTAAAAATAAATATTTATTAAAAGAATAAATAGATAGATAAAATTTTAAAAAAATATTTGATTCAAATAATACTAATAGAATAATTATTAATGTTATAATAGATATAAATATTGTAAAATATAAAAAATATTCATTCGAACTTTCATATGAATGTAAATGAAAGCTATTAGAATAAATATTTAGATGATGAAAAAATTTATGAAAACTATCATTTTGATATTCAATAAATTTATCGATTAGAGATCGATGAATCGAAGTCATTGTCAATGTCTACAAAGTATTTTTTTTATATCGTTTACATATACCATAAATATAAACACTCGGAAAAAATAAACTCAATAAATTATCATTGGTTTTTTGTCGCTCGATATATATATATATTTTTTTTCTTATTTTTACAGTCTCGCTCATGTGCATTTATCATTACGCACACAAACAGAAAGCAACGGAAAAAAGAATGATGAGAAGAAGAAAAAAAATCTGTATCTACTCTATGAGTTGACGATGTTTTTATAAGAAAGACAACATACTGTTTGCTTTATTAGATACAAACATAAAAGATTATTTTTGAAAGAAAATAACAATATGTCGTTGATAGAAAAACAAGAAAAACCCAGTTTTTCTTCTTACATATGACAGAGCACATATTTAGTCAATATGGAAACTAATCATCCGTATATTAATATACAAATGATGATAACATCCAGGCTTATATTTCGACTAGAAATTACTTACGTTGTTTTTTGAAAATGTATTATTTAATGCTATTCGACATGCTTCACTAAGATTTTGATAACCATCATTTTTTTCATGTTCAAGCCATGTATTTAATTCTTTTTTAAGTTTTTCATCTAATATATGATTATTATTTATATTTGAATCTATTTTTTGTGATGATGAATCTTCGATTTTATTTGATATAATTTGTTGATTTTCATTCGATACTTGTTTATTTTTTTTTAAATATTGATTAGGTTTTAAATTTTTAAGGATAATTATTAAAATAATAATCGGTATAATAATAATCATTGAAAATTTTGTAAAATGATATAATTTTTCTATTAAATCTGATAAAACTAATTTTGAACTAATTGCACATGATGAATTTGGATAATGACGATAACATTGAGGTCCAATAGATTTCAATATAGATAAATAAATAGGAAATGGTGAACGACGACGATAAGTATCAAGAAAAATTATATATTTTTGTTTAGGTATGAAATAAGTATAAGTTATTTTTGTATAATCATAACAATTAAGATCGGTATAAGCTGTATAGATTGAACTAACATTATGTCGAGATAAATATTTTTTATGTGTAGTTTTTAAAGAAAAAAATTGTTTAGTTTGATGCCAAATATTTTTAGCTTCATCAAGCCAATTATTTAATTTTTCATGAAATATTAATGTACTAGGTGTTTCGAATTTAGATTTAATAGATGATTTTATCGTTTCTTCTTTTAATGTATCTGATAGAAATTCTTTAGTCTTTAGAAAGAAAAAAACAAAGATATTACTGTATATATATATATATATATGTTAAATTTATATGAAATACTTCTGTAGGTGTTGTTTGAATAGATTCAGATGATTTTTTGAGGACTTTCGAACTAATTTTGTCATTAGGATCGATCAAATATTTTATTCCTGATTTTAATACTGATCCTTGGTCTTCACCGAGAGAAACCTATATATACATTTTTTTTTTCTTAACATATATTAAATATGAAATTTCAGATATTTACTTGATTGTATGCATAAGAAGTTGATATTTCATCTGTGTTTATGCCTTGTTTTGTATGATTAATTAAATATGAATGATCATCTTCAACATTGGATTCAATTTTTGAATCTTTTTCAGGAGAAGGAGAAGAAGACAGCTATAAATAATACATTGAAATATTAGTGGCATAATTAAAGAAAATTTGTGCGAAGGTAAAAGAATCTCTGATAATGTCTGTAAATTGAAATCAAGTCTTGTTTTTAATTGGAATTCAACCGATTCTAAGGACAACTTAAAGCTTTCTTTTGGAAGCTATACTTCTACTAGTTCCATCGAATTAGGTCACTATGACATCTATATTTATATATACCTGGTTGTCGAGGCTAACAATTCGTTTTCCATCGAGATTTTTTCCATTTTCATTTAGTTTTATTCCATTATTAATTGATTTATGTTCTTCTCGTTTACCGTCATGTAATTCTCTTTTGGTATTTTCCAAATTATTCATAAAATTGTTTACTTGTACTATACTTTCAATAGTTTTTTGTTCAGGTAATTTCATTACTGGTTGCTTGAAAGGAACCGGAGTCTAATTAACAAAAAAAAATCAGTAACTATAGAATTGATTTCTATTCCTTTACCGAAGATAACTTCCGTTGTTCTCGTATAGATACACCAAGTGGTAAAAGAATTAATACAGATTGTAAAAGAAGAAGAGTGATCAATGTTAAAATAAATGGATAACGTTTTATTAATTTGTAACGTTTACCAAGATGTATTTCAATATTTTTATATGAAAATTTTGCAATAAAAACTGATATGATTGAACAAAATCCAATTAATAAAAATAATATATTATAATTTGTTGTTTGAGGTAAAAATAATTGAATAAATTTAAATAGAAATAAAATCATCATGAAAATTATTTGAAATAATAAACGTAATATTAATTTAAGAAATGAATAAAATAAAATAATTAATTGACAAAAACAATATAATATAATAGAAAATCCGACGGATCGAAAAAAATATTGGCGTAGAGTATGAAAACGTTTTTTTGTAACATAATTATTTTGTTGAACATAAGATACACAACCGGTTACTTTATCGAATAATGAAGGATTTATAGATGAATCTGATGTTGAAGATGACATTTGTATTCTTTTTTTTTCAGTTCGTTATTCCTAAATAGAATAGTATGAAAAAAAAAATAATAAATTATATATATATTCAAATAAATTTATTAAGAAAATTAAATCATACTATTTTTTTTATGTGTGATATGCCGGTTTATATGTTCATCAACAAAAAAAAAAAGAAAAAACGCGGATAAAAATACTCCTATGTCATTGACAGAAAGTATCTTATGACGTTATGAATCATTATAATAAATTGTTATTATTTATCCATATGTCTATCTTTATAAAAATTAAAGAACCATAATAATAACAATAACAAAAAAAAAATGTCTTAGGCATACTACACAATCATTTTGTCTCGTCTTAAAACGTCCTTTGACTAATGTGTGTTAAAAGAAAAGACGTTCGTGTGTATGTGTGTAATAGTAAAACAGCCATTTAAAAACCACCAAAAGAAAGAGAACGAAAAAAAAAAAAACTCGACGGTTGTTACCATTGCTTTTCCTTTGACAGACCTTCATCTATTCAAAATGCACAGGAAAAAAAGAACTATATTATCGTGCTTTTTCTACTGTAAACATTTTCTTTTTAGTAATAAAACACACATTGTATTCAGTAATCAATAAATGAATATATACGTACTGTAAATTTGCTTAATTTGATCATTATTTTATTACTTATATTATATCCATCATTTTATAAGAATTTAACAATGAAACTTAAGTAAATATTAGCTACATGCTGATTTTAAATTAGTTAAGAATATTGTTTCTCTTTTCTATTCTTCAAAAATATAGTTGAACTCAATGAATAAATATAATTAATAATTATAACCTTCAAAAAAAAAGAAAAAAAAAGGAACTTCTATATGTTATACAACTACTCACAATAAAATCGATATATAAGATTTTATGCATATATATTTTGTGTGAGATTCGAGACGAAAAATTCAAGAGTGTTTTTATTATAATTTAAAAGAAAAAAAAGTTTTTGTTTTTCTTTCACTATTAATCTAAATATTGTTTACGGTTAATATTGATCAAAAGAGAAATTATGAATTTTAGTTCAGTTCGATTACTTTTTTTTTTTTTTTTTTTTCGAAATACTAATGAAAATTTTAAAATGATAATTATCTTCTCATGATTTTTATCATAATTAGTAATGATTTTCAATTATTACATAAGAAATTTTATCAATTTTCTTTAATTATATATAAAATATACTAATATATCCTAAACAGAGTACTAATTTACTTTCTCTGACATTTTGTTAGTAAAATGTCAGTCGTGCGTATGATATACGATAACAAAAGAATGTTTTGGTATTTATACTGGTGATTGAGGTCATAGAATTCTATCGTCCGATGTACTAAATAACTTTAACTCATACGAAATCTTAAACACTTTCAATAAAAAAAAAAAGAATCGACTTTTTCCTAATATTTATAAGATATGTTCGAAGACACTGATGGATTATGCTTTCTTAACTCTATATAATATTTTCTTTTTCTAGTTGGGTTTTTTTCTTTTGTTGTCAACAATATGATAACACAAAAACTACTCAATCAGACTTTGGACACTTCTGATGTTATCAACATATAGAGAAAAACAAGTTCTATACAAAGAATAATATAAAACAAAGATTTCGATTGTGAAATATTAACTTTCATCAAAAATGAATCCTATATTCTCAATTTAGAAAATATATTTTTATCGCTGATGGAAATTTTGCCTTTCGGGGAGAGTAAAATGTTCGAAGTAAATACTTGAGTTGAAGTTTAATGAAATTTTTGTTTTTTCTGATGAAACATATATTTACTCGTGCAATTTTGCATATTGATTGTTAATATAAGACTAATTTTTGATGAAAATTAATTTTTCATAGTTAAAATCGAAAAAATATTTTCTACTTTATCCTATTTTGTACAGAACTTTGACCCTATTTATATTTTGCTAACACTAAAAATATCGAAGGCCTAGTTAAGTATTGTGTATTATTATCATACCATCGACAGTAAAGACAAAAGAAAAAAAGTATCTAGACAAAGAAAGTAGTAAACAATCGAGAAAGAATAATATACGAGACGTTTCTAATATATCTTATGAATGACAGGAAAAAAAAAAAAAACGATTTTTTGATTGAAAGTAATTGAGTTTTTGCATGGATGCAAATTGTTAAATGTATTAAATACTAGAACTTTATGAACTCTATCATTGATGAAAATATAAAAAATGTTCTATTATTGTCGTATAAAACATACTCGATTGACATAGAATAAAATACAGATTTATTTGAGATATTTTGCATTTAATTAATGAAAATTTTGTATATAGTCAGTCAAATTCATTAATAATTATGATAAAAATCATGAAAAGATAATTATCATTAAAAAGTTCATTCGTATTTTGAAAAATAGTCTTAGACTAAACTCATAGCAGTTTATAACATATACAAAAAAACAAAAATTTCAAGAAATCCTGAGCTATTACTCCATCATCATTACACTAGAGTGTTTGATTTTCTTAGACACACTCACTGTTAACATTCGTTGTATATGTTCGATACATACATTTAAAAATTTAATCTTTTTACTTTAGTAAAAAAAAAAATCGTTATGACAACAGTAGATATTTTATGCAAATGAGCACAATGATTTGTATAGTTTTACATATCAATGAAACGATAGACTATATTAGGACAAGAAAAAAATCATTAAATAAAGTGAATGTATCAATGACACATTATATTTTAATTTCAAAAAATCAAAAGTAATGCTTCGTATTAATTAAAAATAAAAAATAAAAACAAAAATATCATCAAATTTTATTTCATAAGAAAATTATCAATTTAAACTCGTTCAATTAATAAAGCAATGCCTTGACCACCACCAATACATGCAGCACCAATAGCATACTTTCCTTGACATCGTCTTAATTCATAAACAAGATTTGCTGTTATTCTTGTACCAGATGCACCTAATGGATGACCAAGTGCAATCGCACCACCATTAACATTACTTTTTTCATTTGACAATTTTAATACTTTTTTACAAGCAAGATATTGTGATGCAAATGCTTCATTAATATCATATAAATCAATATCAGATATTTTTTTATTTACTTTTTTTAATAAATTTTCAATAGCTGGTACAGGTCCAATACCCATTATAGTTGGTTCAACACCACTTATATGATAAGCAACTAAACGAGCTAATGGTTTAAGATTATATTTTTTTAATCCATCTTCATTTGAAATAATAATTGCAGCAGCACCATCACAAATTCCACTTGCATTACCAGCTGTTACAGTACCAATATCTTTTATAAATAAAGATGGTAATTTTGAAAGTTGTTCAATAGTTGATTGTGGACGTGAATGTTCATCTATATCAAATATTTCATCTTGATTTTTTTTATTTTTTATTTTTATTGGTTCAATTTCATCTTTAAAATAACCTTGTTCATTTGCTTGTTTCCAACGTTTTTGTGATTGTAAAGCATATTCATCAGCTTCTTGACGAGTTATATTATATTTTTTTGCTAAATTTTCCGCTAAAATAAAGATTTTGAAAAAAAGAATCGTTCGTCATACTTAATCACCTGTCATAGCCATTGATGTTTTTATATGACCATCTGTTAAACCTTCCCATAATGTATCTTCTAATTTTAAATTCATACCTAATTTTATTCCAAATCGAACATTTCTTACTGCATATGGTGCTTGTGACATACTTTCAGTTCCACCACATAAAACAATATTTGAATCACCTAATTCAATTTCTTGTCCACTATTTATAATCGATTGAAAACCTGATCCACAAAGACGATTAACAGTTAATGCTGGAACATGAATTGGTACGCCAGCAAGTAATGCAGCATGACGAGCTAAAAAAATTGCATATGTGGATGTTTGAGAAACATTACCAATGATAGTACTATCAATAGCATCAGGTGATAATTTTGCTTGTTTAAAAACAGCTCGATTAGCAAATTCTTGTAATTGTATAGCTGTATAATCTTTTAATTTACCACCAAAAGTACCAAATGGAGTACGACGAGCGGCAACAATATAAATAGCTCGTTTAAAAACCATTGTTTTCTATATTCATTTTATATAGATGTTTGAGAGAGAGTAAAACCATTGTGTCATTAACCAATAACGATTGACATTATTTATCACTTGTTGATTCTTATCATCAAACCAAAAATAAGAGTAAAAGATGAGAACGACTTATAGCGACCTCAAATATTCAAAATTGAAATTCTAAACTAAACGATGTTGTATATATATATATATATATATATATATATCAATGTTGTCGTTCTTTTACAATAGTAATTGATTCATTAAAATTATAGTACGTATCATTCAGTATTATTTGTCATCTGTTTGTATTTGACCTTATATGTCTGCATGATTTATATTCGTCAGAAAAAAAAACACTGTATCACGTTGTTTGTCAACGCTTATTATCAATAGCACGTTTGAATAAAGATACATTACTCATAATTATCATTTCAACACTAAACCAATAATAACAAGATTGATAGATGTATTCAACCGAATGTATTCATCAGATATGAGTATAAATAAAGATTTTGTCGATTGATTGATTGCTTAGTTGTATTGCTAAATAAAGATAAAAACCTTCTTGAATTTATATGTTGATGAAAAATATTTTATAAGTTGTTTTTTTTTTTGTTTTTAAATATGTAATGCATAATATTTCGTTTATCTATCAAATACTAAATTCAATCTATATCGTTTAGAGAATGATCATTCATTGTTTTGACTTATATTAAACTAAAAATAGCTCGACAAAAAAAATTGACATGAATGATAATGATTATTTTGTTTTCTTTTCATTCAAAAACTATTAGATAAGAATCATTATAGTTCTACATATTGGAAATACATTATTAATCATACTATAGAAAATTTGTGTATTCATGATAATCCTCAATAGATTCCTATTTTCATGTTCCTCTCCATACATTCATTTAATGAAGTAATCAATATTATACCTATGAATTTCGATTAGATTTAATGTATAAAACATTTCATTCAAATAAGTTTGTCTTATAATGTAATACAAATTTTTTAAAAAATGAGTCAGAAAAAGTACTTGATAACCAGGATACGCCCGACATAGTTAAATTTGGAGTATTGTTCCATCTGTTGTTTTTTTTTTCTTAAAGGGAGAAAAATTTCTAGTTCCGTGGAAGAAAAAAAATAAAAAAAATTTTAACTTATGGGAGAATATTACACCTGCATTTCTTACTTCAGTCCGCGCAGCTCTATTGAATAAGTAATCATAATTGTCTTGATCACATATCAATAGAATAATACACTTCTAATCTATATTGTCCAATATATATATTTCAATTCATGAATGAGTCATACTTAGAATGTTTGCTTTTTTTTTTTCGATTAATACATAACTTTAACATATTAAAATATGATTTCCCCTGAGTTTGAGTTAAAAAAATTTTTAATGGTTAGCAACATAATCACAAGAGACTATTATTAAATTGACTCACGAAATCTATTATCTAAATATAATCATAAATGATATTAAATTAAAGATATTATATTAAAATAATAAATATCTATTGCTTAATATCTTTTTTTTCCTCTTAGTAAACTAGTACATTGATAATATGGTGTGTTTCGTTAATACAATGAAAAAAAAAAAACTTTAATCAATAACGATGGATTAACACACACATTTTATCACAAGAAAAAAAAACAAATAATGAAGAAAAATTGAATGTTGTGTTTTTTTTCTTTCTTTTAAAATTATCATGATTTAAGTTGTTTAGCTTGTTCCCATGGAAATTCTGATCGACCAAAATGTCCATAACATGCTGTTTTCTTATAGATTGGAGTTTTTAAATTGAGATCCCTATGACAAAAAAAAAAACAATTATTGATTAAAAAATAAAAATTATTACATATATAAATAACTTACCGAATAATAATACCTGGACGAAGATCAAAATTTCTTTTAACTATTTCAAGTAATTCTTTATCTGTTTTTTTTGAAGTACCATAAGAAAAAACAGCAATAGATAATGGTTCAGCGATAGCTATACTATAAGATACTTGAACCAGACAACGACGACAAAGTTTTGCTTTAACTAATGATTTAGCGACCCAACGAGCAGCATAAGCTCCTGAACGATCAACTTTCGATGGATCTTTACCACTAAATGCACCCCCACCATGAGCACCCCATCCACCATATGTATCGACAATAATTTTTCGGCCAGTTAAACCAGCATCACCTTGTGGACCACCAATTTCAAATTTACCCGATGGATTTAAATAATAAACTGTGTTACCATCAAGTAATTCTTTTGGTACAACAGGTTTAATAACTTTATTAAGAAGATCATCACGTAATTGTTCTTGTGTTACTTGTGGACTATGTTGAGTTGATATAACAATTGTATGAACACGTTGAGGAATACATGCACCTTTATCAAATTTATATTCAACAGTAACCTAAAGAGAAAGACATTTTGGTTTGTTTTTTTTTTGATGATAATAATATTCTTTTGTTTATTTCTATTTACTTGAGTTTTTGAATCTGGTCGAAGATAATCTAATTGACCATTACGTCTTAATTCAGCCATTTTAGCATTAAGATGATGAGAAAGTACGACAGTTAATGGCATACATTCTTCAGTTTCATCAGTTGCATAACCAAACATTAAACCTTGATCACCAGCACCAATATCTTCATCAGTTCGTTTTTCATGAACGGCTTGAGCTATGTCAGGTGATTGTTGTTCAAGTGCAACAAGAACATTCATGGTTTTATAATCAAAACCTTTATCTGATGAATCCCAACCAATATCACGAACTGTATCACGAACTATTTGTTGATAATCAAGACTAGCTCTTGTTGTTATTTCACCACATACTAAGACCATACCAGTTTTCGTACATGATTCTAAAAAGAAATGCAAAAAGTATAAAAAAATAAATAAACAAAATTGTTAATCTATGAATCAGAAAATTTACCACAGGCAACTTTAGAATTTGGATCTTGCTCTAAACAAGCATCGAGTATAGCATCACTAACTTGATCACAGATTTTATCTATTTAATAGAAATAAAATTTATTTTGAAACTGATTTTATATATATATAGAAAAAAAAACAACACTTTAATTTCTTCATTTCATTTAAATTAATCTTTAAACATAGTTAATTACTTACCAGGATGTCCTTCACCGACTGATTCTGATGTGAATAGAAACACTTCCCCGTGTGCATTGTCTGATTCCATGTTTGAGGGCTTAGATGGGATGTGTGTGTGTCGTCTAAAAAATTTTAAAAAAGAATGACTATATTAAATCTGTTTCTCATATCTAATAAACGTTTTTCATTCTTCTGTTGCATTTTTTTTTCTTTATCAAACTGCGTCGTCATTCGAATATAAAAAAAAAGCAAATATGATGTACTAAAGAAACAAATACTTTTATTTTTCTTTTGTTTTGCTTTTATGAGAATAAAATTTACGCGTATATACAGCCATATACACAGTATCAGAGGGAAGCAAACACCAAGGACAAGGTGCAAGTCATAATCAGAAAGAAGAATATCATCAAAATGTTGTAAGAATAAGAAAAAAATGATAAAAAGACAATAGTGTAATACGTGTTGTTTTCATCCTAGTGATTTTTTCTATATCGTGCTTCGGTACATTTTTCAAAGGGCAATATCAAAATGAATGCATAGATTCTTAAATGAATGTTAAAAACTAAAGGTAGCAAGAACGTAGAAGATCGGCAGACTTTCTAAGCTATCTATCATGTCGAATAGTTCACTTAAAGTGTATATTGAAATGTAGACAACATATATATATATATACCTTAAAAATACAGTCCCATTCACATTGCTGTTGCGCATAGGGAAATAAAAATGAGGCCAGACTGGCATGATCGTCTGTTTTTTTTTCTTTCTTTATCACATAAACATGCTTGCCTTACTTTCAAGACCTAATAAGACGAAAAAAGTATGAAGAAACGAACGAATGATACTAATGCCAATAAACTTATCTCCAGCATATTATTAATTATCATACTTTGACTTTATTGTATAATTATATGTATATAAATATTGATGAAAAACTCAAGAATTACTTTATCAGAATATGTCAATGATTATTGTAAGAATAGATCAAATATATTTGATGTAATATAGAATGCCTGCACGTACTCATACGTACTACGTATGGCTCGAAATTAACGATCTAATTCAATGTTCTACAAAATAAATGTCACCTTGAAGTGTAAAATATGCACTTTAGAATTTTTATATTATTAATTTTGATATGAATATCATTGATAACATTTTTTTTTTTATTGTTCTATTTCAAAAAACCGATCTTAATATGAATTTGTGTTTATGTAAGAAAAGAAATACATTTTAATATAATTCATTGTATTAATCTTTTTAATTTGTGTATTACTATTTTGATTTTTGATGTTTTATCGGTCGAACAACAGACATTTTGTGACAACTTCACTGATAAAAATTTTTTATCATAAAATAGTGAAAGTGAGTTTATTGTTTAGGTAATTTTTTTCTGTTTCTTTAAAACTCTGATAACTACTGTTTATTTTTACTTTGTCACACTGAAAAAGCCCACGATGGGAAAAAAGAACCGAGCATATATATATATATACGTGTGTATACTACTGTATGAAAATTAATTCATCATATTCATTTATAAAAAAAAAAGTTTATAATCAAAATGTCATTTATCGAATGGCGAACTTTATTTGATGATATATTTGATGGTTATTCTGATGAGTGGACATTAACTTATGTTCATAGAAATGATAAAATTCAAAATCAAAACCTTAAAAATAAACGTAGAATGGAAAGAACTGGATATGCCTAGTATATCAGTTAATTCTATTTTATCGATATTTTTATTTTGTTTTTTTTTTATAGATTTTATTGTTCAAAATGTTGGAATAGTTGGGCATCAGCTAAAGCTAAAGTAGTTTTATATTATCCGAATGCTAATGAACCACTTGGAAGAATTACTTTACGATTTTTTGGACAACAATGTAGAAAATGTTCTCGTAATAAAATTTGTTTTGCTAATCCAGAATTTGATGAAGATTGGATTGGATCAACTTTAGAAAAACTTTATGAAAGAATTGGATGGTTTTGTTATGGTAAAGAACGATTAACAAAACCAATAAAAAACGACCAACAAGCGAACAACATTGAAGGTCCTCATGAAAAAGCACTATGTGAAGCTTGTCAATTAGGTTGTTGCGATCAAACATCGATAAAAAAGAAGTATTGAACTTTATAATAATAATATTATTTGTTATCTTTATGTATATATTAATAAATACTTTGAAATTAATAAAATTAGCTGTTTATTTGTTTTGTAATTTCGTTTTCATTTATATCCAAAATAATATATAATGACTACGAATTTTTCTACTTCTATATTTCTTCATTAATTAATCATATCATCTTTTTTGTGGAATATATTTGCGAAGAAAATAGTCAGTATAAGTTTTAAGTCGAACTTTTGTGGCTCATCATTACAAATCTTAACAACCACAATCATGAAACCATTGAATAGCAACTATAGGTAAAAATCAACCATTTTAGTACTGTTCTCAATTGTAGTTATGCAGACAAAAATAAGAGATTTGCATAGCGAACAACTTTAGTTGAAATTTTAAGGTCAAAGAGTGAAGCAGTCAAAGGAAAGTGTAAAATTAGAGTACTGATATGTGCACTACTAATAGTAAGGTAATGTTTTTCTTTTCGTATCGTAGTTAGTACTTCACTATCTATCTGTAATTGTTTCAATTCATGAGAAATATCATTTATTAATTCATCCATTTTGACTGTCGTCGTATATTTTTCTTCTTTATTATATCATAAAAGCAATAGTGTTGATATTTGATGAAAAAGAAAATAAATTCTTTAACAGACACTAATCAATGATCGATTTAGTTTTACATATTAAAGACTTTAAAACAATTTAAAAAAAACACATTGATATTTTATCGGCAAAGTTGATTACTACTGATATTGGACAACTCCAACTCAGAGTTGGAGTTAACTCAGGAGTTGACGGCTTTTTTCATTAGAGTTGTAGTGGAGTTGCAGTAAATCTGAAGTAGAGTTGGAGCGGAGTTGGAGCGGAGTTGGAGTGGAGTTGACAAAGTTTGAAGTGGAGTTGGAGCGAAGTTGGAGTGAGATTTTACAATTAGTGGATGGAGTTGGAGTGGAGTTGAAATGGTCTGGAGCGGAGTTGCAGCGGAGTTGGATTTGATGTCTTTTTTCCAACTCCGATATAACTCCGGTTTATTTTATAACCTGCCGGAAGAGAACGGCAAAAAGTCGACAGTGAAAACACGTGCAAGCGTATGATATTCATGACGCAATTAAGAAAGCTAGGAATGAATGACTTTGTATTATTACATGGAGAGAGAGAGAGAGAGAAAAATAGAGAAAATTTAGAAAGTGATTGGTGGCATGCTTAAATATTATTTGTTAAACAATTCAGTGCATCGAACGCATATCTTTGTGATTCTTCATTATTGGCGAACAACCTGAATGTAAATGCATTCATCATTTGATGTAATAACAATTAACTTAACTAAAAATATGCGTCATTATGGCAACCAGTTCCTGTAGTGCTAGCGTCAACGGAAGAAAGAGTTGATTAAGGGACTAATGGGACTAGTTGTCATGGTGATGCACTTTTATGAAAATAGAAGTGGAGTTACATGGAGTGTGGAGCGGTACATAGATAGAGTTGAAGTTGGAGTTTAAGCGGAATTTTTCAAAATTGGAGCGGAGTTACCCGGAGTTGGAGTTTGAGCAAAATTTTTCAAAATCGGAGCGGAGTTGCCCGACACTGGCGGTAACAGGTTATTTTCATCAAAACCTACACTTGACTATGATTCTTTAAAAAATAAAAACTATGGTTCAAGTAGTTTATTCTTGTTCAGCAATTTTCTACTGACTTTTTTATTAAACTAAATATGGTTTGTCATGAAAATGTCAATTTCTGCTGAGATAAAAAGTCAATATAAATATGTCATGCCATATGGTGCTATGGTACACAGTAAAAGGATGACAAGGTTCGCAGACATGAACCAATTATGTGAACTAAAGTCAATAGGATCACTTCACATAGAAGCTATGAGCCAACAAAATGAATGTTTCATAACACTCCAAATGATGCTTCCCTCTTTTCTTCAATTCGATTCAAACATATCAAGACAGTTATGTAGTGCCGAGGTACAAAACTATTTTACAATTTATTACCATTCGTTCATACTTTTTTCTCATACTAATATTTGATTAATTGTTACTGAAATATTGTCGTGTGCAAAGGAATAGATAACAGTCTATCAACAATTTTAGCAAATAGACAATTTATTTCAAAAATTATCAATTCAAATCATGAGTTATATTGAATTGAATTGATAAAATGTTTCAGTATCCAGAATATTAAAATGCATGAAATAAATTTTCAGAGACTGAATAGCTGATTGAATTGGAAAATATTTCGTAAGATTTTTTGGATTTGTTTGAAAAAAATTCCAGAATTTATGAAGTAAATGTAAATCGAAATAACATTTTCTCTCAATAAATTCCGAACGAATCGGTTGTCTTTTTTGCTTGTACTGATCAACCTTAAATTTTAGTATTCATGATGAACAATCGAATGAGAACATATGAAACAAATAAATTGTCATAGCAGTTATCTGCCTAAGAATTGGATAAATTTAATTAAAAATTTAGTATAAATGACAAATCAAAAATATGATTTAATTGTTTTTTTTTTTGAAGTTTACTTAACCCTTTCAGAACGGGTGGTACACCTTATGTACCACAGTCATTTGTTCTTAATAGTGAAGCATATTATGCATTGATGACTAAAAATGGTTGCGTATGCTCATAGCAGATGTATAACACCAGTGTATGTATACTCGAATGCATACGCAACCATTTCTAGTCGTCAATGTATAATATACTTCACTGTTAAAAATAAATAACTGTGGTACGTACGGTATACCACCCGTCCTGAAAGAGTTAATAATCGATAGCATGTCAATGAAAATTGGTAAAAAAAAAAATGCTTTCTTTTTCTATTAAAAAATCATTATATAAGAAAGAGATGTGAATCACATATCGCTCCGAACATACCATTTATTTAACAAAATTTTTTTATCATTCCATAAAGAATAAAAAGTTGCATAGCATACAAAATTCAGCTTAAAACTCTCCAATTCT